GTTGTGTCTTTTCACTATATTTATTCAGTGTATGCTGAGCAAATAATCTGAGAATCTGGACTACAAGAAGAAGAAGGTGACATCAGGATTGTAGGAAGACTCATTAACCCCCTATGATATGCAGATGACACAAACCTTAGTTGGCAGAAGTGAAGATGACATGAAGCACTTACTGACAAAGATCAGGGAGTACAGTTTGCAGTATGGATTGTACCTCAACATAAAGAAAACAAAAATCATCACAACTGGACCAATAGGAAATACTATGACAAATGGAAGAAAAACTGAAGTTGTCAAGGATTTCATTTAACTTGGATCCACAATTGATGCTCATGGAAGCAACAGTCAATAAATTAAATGACACATTGCACTGGGCAAATCTGCTCCAAAAGGCCTCTTTAAAGTGTTAAAGAGCAAAGAGGTCACTTTGAAGAGTAAGGTATGCCTGACCCAAGCCATAGTATTTTTAATAGTCTCATATACATGTGAAAGCTGGACAATGAATAAAGAAGATTACAGAAGAGTTAATGCATTTGAATTGTGGTGTTGGCAAACAATACCATGTACCATGGGCTGCTAAAAGAACAAACAAATCTGTCCTGGAGGAAGGACAGCCCGAACGCTCCTTAGAAGCAAGAATGACAACACTTCAACTTTTGTACTTTGGTCATGGTGTCAGAAGGGACCATTCCTTGGAGAAAGATATCATTCTTGGTAAAGTGGAGGGTCAGCAAAAAAATGGAAGCTCCTCAGCGGATGGACTGACACAGTGGTTGCAATGATGGGGTCAAGTGTGGCTGTAATTGTGAGAATGGTGTGGGGTCCGGCAGTATTTCATTTTATTGTGCATAGGGTACCTATGAGTATGAACTAACTTGATGGCACCTAACAACAACAACATTAGGTGCCAGATATTATTCTAGTAATGTGAACATAGAAGTAAACAAATAGACAAAACTCTGTCTTTATGAAGCTTACAATTACATGAAATAATTTAGGAAATTATATAATGTGAGACATTATGATAAATGCTATGTTGTTGTTGCTATATGCTGTCGAGTCATCTCTGACTCATAGCGACCCCTCCTTGGGTTTACGAGGCAGTATCGCTACAGAAGTAAATTGCCCATTCTTCCTTCTGAGGAGTAGCTGGTAGGTTTGAACTGCCAGCCTTCTGGTTAGCAGTGCTATGGAGAAGAATAAAGCTGGAAATCGAGAAGAAGACTGCTGGGAATGAGGGAGTTTGCTGTTTTCAGTGGGAGCCCTCTCACATCTAAAACTCAAACTGTGATTCTTGGCACAAAACATTTCTAACTGAAATGAGCTTAGACAAGTCAGGAGTTAGTCAAGTCCTGATGTATTGAAATCAGGTCCTGGTTATTTACTCAAAACTCACTGTAGACATGTTGGTGTCACATTGTGGTGTCTTTAACATGGACAACTTCTTACTTGCAGGCAGATAGTAAAGGTTATGCATTCCAGTTTCCATCCTACCTGCCTTAAGTACCTCAGGTTATGTGAATGTGTAAGTAATCTAATGGGGATAGCAAGCATTGAGATAAAAGGACGTGTTCGTGTTGTGAAAAGTCATACAGACATTGGGCCAGGGTGCCAGTGCTAAAACGGCAAGGAGGCCACATCTTCTGACCTCCTCTAATCCCACAAGAGGAAGACAGGGTTACCAGCAGTAACCCAAGGCCTATTACTGCAAGGCCAGACATGCTGCCTCCCTCCAGCCCTTTCTCCAACCGTTCCTCCCAGAGCACCCACCACCTCTCTCCTGGGTTCGATAATTCACTGCAGTGGCCACACACAACTCACAGATTATGAGGTTTATTAGGGAAGCACCAAGCTACAATTCGAGTTCAGGAAAAATGCTCAGTCTCTCTCTCCAGCCCACCATCCCTCAGCCAACAGTCTCTCACAGTCTTTTTCCCAGCAGTGCTGGTCCCTCGGTGTCTCACTCAGCGATGCGTATCTCTTGTGTCTCTTTCCCAGTAGCATGTGTCTCTTTCAGCAGCACGTCTTCCTCCACCAGCAGTCAGAGAGAGTTCTGCCTCTAGGAGACCTCCTTTTGAGCCCGGCAGAGTGGCCAAACTAGCCAATCATAGCATCAGAACTCTAAGTACCTGAGAGAGAGTGGGCACCTCCCAAAACATTGTTTTGTGTCATGCCCAACAGAAATACTCCAGGTGGACAACTTCAGCAATCAGGAGCTCCTCAGTTGCTCACAGAAAATCCCACCTTGGAGTTTACAAAGACTTATGGGTAGAAAAGCCACACTAAGTAATTTACTACACCACAGCCAGTAAAGGTTTTCCATAGTGGAGTGACAAGATAATAACTTGAAGGAGTGAAGATGGATTAAACACAAAAATTAGTCAAAAATCTAAACAAGGATGATGGCAAATTAAACAAACATGTTGAGACCTGAATATACTGAACAAGTTTCTAGGCAAATATTTTTTTCAAATGAGCTGAAAGCACATAAACTCCAGAAGACAGGGGTTTTATTTCATCTATGATATTTATTCTAAAATACTCTAGAACCTATTTTCAGACAGACCGTGATATTTGTACAGCAATCTTGGGTGAAAAAATGAGACTGTTCAGCGTAGTGCAACCAGCTTGGACACTGAGACCATCCTGGACCCATGGTGTGCCCCAAAGCCTGTCATAATTGACATGTTGGCCCACCTGAAAGCTAAGCTGGCATGACAGGTACACTGTTAAGAGAAGGTCTGAAAATGCTTGAAAAGAGAAGGTAGCCTATCACCAAACTCAAACCCATTCAGATACAAAGTTGAAAAGAAGTTTGCAAAATAGACTGAGAAGGAGCATCCAGCCAAGGAGGAAGAAAACCAAGAGTATGTGAAGAGTAGAGATTAGACCTCATTCTTCCGTTTCTCAACAGATACTGAGCATTGGTGACATGTCAAGTTCTGCTGAAGATGCTTGGAAGGAAGGTTGGGCAATCTACTTCCACAGTGATACTGCTTCGGAGCTAAGTAGACAAAGGGAGGTGCTGAGGCTAGACATCAGGATAAGGAGCTGTGGTTAAACAGCAGTATGGGGTCCAAGGTAGCCCCTGGTGAGAAGGGCTAAGGTTACCCTTCAGAAGGAAAAGAAAAGAAAGGTGTTCAGAGTTCAGAGTCAAGAAAGGCAGGAAGGGACTTTCTCAGCAGAAAATGGACTTTACAGCTTCTCTTATCAGTCCCCATTTCCTGACTTGACTTACTTTCTCTCCCACTTTCCACCTTCCTGGAGACCCTAAGTCTCCATGACTTGCTATTTCCTGCTCTTGGCTGGTGGCTGTGGCTTTGAATGGTGAAACAAGGCACTATGGAGGCAGCTAAGGCATGCTGAGCAGGCACCCTTGAGACTGGACTCACCCTTCCAGTGCCTGAGGATGTCCCTATCAGAAAGACTTGGCCAGAGCTCAGGGCCGGGAGCTAGAAGTGCCAGGAAGTGACTGATTTGATTGCAGGAAGGGATGATGAGTGAAGAGTTTAGAAGGAAGGCTAAAAGACGATTGAGTGATGGGCAGAAAAAGAAATACAGAAATAAAGGAAGCACATCAAAGAGCCTCATGGAGACAGAGAAACTGAGAAGACAGTGAGGGAAAACATTAGGGAACGTGTGGAAAGAGGGAAATGGAGATAAAGGGTGGTGCAGTGCCTAAGACATTTGACTGCTAATCATAAGGTTGGCAGTTCAAACCCACCAGCAACACTGAAGAAGAAAGCAGGGCAATCTATTTCCACAAAGATTTACCACCTCAGAAACCCAGTGGGGGTTGCTATGAGTCGAATCAGTCAATGCCAATGGATTTGGTTTGATTTTTGGTTTTGGGGAGATCAAGAGTGAAGACAGAGAACAATGGAGATAGGCAAAGGCAGAGAGAGAGAGAAAGAAGAAGATAAAAAGGAGGAGGAGAGGAGAGAAGAGAAGAAATGAAAGGAAAGGAGAGAATAAGAGAGAAAATGCATTGTTATTGAGAGACAGGGACAGAGACAGACTGAGAGGCAGAGAAATAGATAAAGACACAGAGAGAGTGGCAAAGATATTCTGAGAGACAGAAAGCAATGGAGAGAAATAGAGACAGAGACAAGCTATGTTGTTATGTGCCGTCGAGTCAGACCCAACTCATAGTGACCCCTCCTTGTGTTTCTGAGGCAGTATCACTATGGAAGTAGATTGTCTCATCTTCCTTCCCAGGAGTGGCTGGTGGGTTTGAACTGCCAGCCTCCTGGTTAGCAATCAAGTGCCTTAAGTACTAGGCTACCAGAGACAAACTATAGGGGAGGAGATTGAAGGAGAAGGTCACAGTGAAAGAAATGATGAGAAGAGACCAGGTAGGGTCTAAGGTTCAGAAGGATACACACACAGCAAGGAGTCCAGCCCAGGAGCTGGAGTGGCAGGATTTGAGCTGGAATCTGTTTAGTCAGGAAAGGGCACCAGCATTAGGAGCCACTTTTCTTTGACATTTGATATTCAAAACACCAAGTTCATCATGAGGATAATCATCAATTTATATTTACATAACTCTTGGTTACAACAAAGCACTTTCTAGTTGGCAGTGAGGATGTTTGCAGACTGAAGTATGTGGAACAGGTGCTGATTCTCAATTGCTGGAAATTTCCTTCTTCAAAACAAGCTGCTTGCTTTTGTCGAATGAATGAATGAATGAATGTGTCTATGACTGAAGTGGCCACACAGGAAGTGGTAAGAGTGTGAGCCTCAGACTGCATGCCTAACCTGGCTCTCCTTTGCCAGCCTGAGCCAGGTCTGCAGCTGCCGGAAGATCTTCTGTAGATAGGTGGGGGGAATTTTGAAAGTCAGACACCAGTACCAGGAGAGGGCAGAGGAATATAAATTAACAAGCAAACAAAATGCAGATTATCCAGAGGTTTTTCTTCCGCTCACCTGGCGTGCTAGGAGGAGGCTGGGGGAGTCTGAGGGTCTCTCAGGTGCCATGTCTGAGCAGTGGGAGGCATTAGGGATGAGAATGACTGACTTGAAAGGTCCCAAGGACTCTGTTACACTCAGCACATGCCAGGGGTCTGCATCCCCTGAAAAGAAGGGAGAGGATGGTGTGTTGAACTGGGGAGGGGTAGAGGCTTAGGCTGGGTTCTGGTAGGATGCTCACCATTAATTAACAGCACTTGGGTGGCCCTCAAGGTCTGCCCACCATAGTAGGAATTTGTCTGGGCCACGGCCTTGGCTACTGATGAGGGTGAGAGGCCAAAAACCTGCTCACAAAGACCCAGCTGGGAGGGCAGTGCTGGGAACTGGGAGAAAGGGCATCCTGGGTCTTCACAGGTGATATCTGTGGAGTAAGATACCTATAAGTATGAAAATTTGCCAGCCCTCCCTTCTCTTCACTCTCATTTAATAATCATTTACAGAGCTCCTCCCAGTGATAACTAAGAAAACCCTTGTCCTTCCTTTCAATGAACTCACAGTCCATTGAGAGAGACAGATACACCCCCAGTCAGTGACAGCTTATGGTGATCAGAGCTGTGATGGAATAAGACCAGGGGTCAGGGATCCCAGAGGGAGCATGAGGGGCTCAGGAAGGAAGGGCATCTTGCAATAAATAAAACCTTAAGAAATTAGTAGGAGTGGGCTAAGCCAGGAGAGAGAAGAGCAAAAGCATAATAAATAGAAGAAATAGCATGTGCAAAGGTCTAGAGGTAAGAGGCAAACTAGAGTGCTAAGGCACAAATTGGAACACGTCTCCCCTGCTTAAAATCTATAGTTCTCATGTGCTTTCAGGGTAAATCTAACCTTAGCCTCACATTCATTCCTCCCTTCATCTTTTATTAAGCACCTATTATACACTCTGGTGGTGTGGTGGTTGGGGCATTTGGCTACTAGTCAAAAGTTTGGTGGTTCGAACCCCCAGCCACCCTGTGGAAGAAAGATGAGGCAGTTTGCTTCCACAAAGATTTACAGCCTTGGAAACCCAATGGAGATTGATATGAGTTGGAATCAACATGATGGCAGTGAGTTTGGTTTTTGGTTTTTATATGCTCAGTTACATGATGGGCAATATTGGGCACACAGTGACAATCAAAACAGCCCCAGCTTTGCTGTCACAGGACACAGGTCCAGAAGAAGAGATAGGTGATACAGAATGTATGATGACAGACTGTGGGAAGTGCTAAGGAGAACAAGGAGATATTGTGTGTGTGTGTGTGTGTGACTAGACTGAGAGATCAGGGAAAACTTCCTGAAGAGGGGACATCTTGTGTTCAGACTTGAAGATGAGTAAACTGTGTCACGAGGGGAAGATGAGTAGTCCAAATACAGGGAACAATGTGTGCAAAGTCCCTGAGATGTTAGGAAGACTGACTTATTGGAGGGTTAAAGTATGTAACCAAAAACCAAACCAAACTCACTGCCATGGAGTCAATTCAGGCTTATAGTGACCCCCTTTGGGTTTCCAAGGCAGTAAACCTTTATGGAAGTACTGAGTTCAGCTTTTCTTCACTCAGGCAGCTGCTGGCTACTGAGACTAACAAGTCCAAGGTTGAAAAGTGAAAAGGCACAATTCTGATGTTACCAAACCACATGGCTGGCCATTAAGTCAAGTCCATTGAAAATCCCAAGGTTGGCAGAGCATGGCAGGCTGCTGAACAATGACGTGACTACACGCAGGGTTCAAGCATGCCAAAGCTAGAGACCATTCCCCAAGGCTTTTCTTTATATGCAGAAAGCAGACCACAACCCAAAGGTAGCTATTCAGCTGCTCACAGTAGATTCCATCATGGAGTTGATTACCAGTCTCATCATGGGAATACTACATTAGCTGCCTGAGTGAAGAGAAGCCTCTAGTTTCAGTGGGCTGGGAGCAGGAGGCAAAGCTGCAGTCCAAGGTTGAAGGGCCTTCACCCAGCCCCTAGAGCCGGGCACTTTGAACTCAGACTTAAAGCCTCCAAACTGTAAGAGAATAAACTGTTTCTTCAAGCCATCCCATTTGTGCTATTTTCTTGTCAGAGCAGCACTAGGTGACCAGAACACCCTGGGATGAGGACAGAGAAGGAGATAGGATGAAGAGAAGATGATGCATATTGAGGCCTGAGTGTGTGTGTGAGGAGGCAGGGGAAGGCCAAGCACATACACACTAGTATGGCTCTCTATCCTCCAGTGCCACACAAGCAGCCCATCCAAGGCCCAGCAATTGGGCCAGTTTTTCTATGTAGTAAGTCCAGACCAATAGTGAGATGGCCCATCTGGGCACAGAACAGGACATACATTTTGGGAATGGATGTTGGACCAGTCACTCACAGAAGCCGAACTCAGTACATGTCTGGTACAACCACTGCCGGTCACCCACGCCGGATACTTGAGGTTCTGTGTCCCTCAGCTGTGCCACTGTCTCTGCTCGGGAAGTGCTTAAACACCTCTCTCCCAGGCTGTGCATGACAATCTGAGGACAATATACACACATATGTACATACATATTCTGCTCCCCCACCTCTAGTCTAGGCTAGGGTCTGGAGACTTGGATCCCCACCAGTCAAAGATCATAAGTCAAAAGGATGGGTTCCTGGGTTCTTTGGGGAGTCAGAAGTCACAGGATATGGGTTCCAGGGTCCTTGTGGATTAGAGTACTGTATGAACTGGGATCCTATGACCTATGAGTCCTTGAGTTAGTAATAATGTCTTGGACTCAGTTTCCTCATCTGTACCAACACCCAAAAACCCACTGCCATCCAGTCAATTCCCACTCATAGCAACCTTATAGGACAGAACAGAACTGTGGTTTCCAAGGCTGTAGATATTTATGGAAGCAGACTGCCACATCTTCCTCTCTCAAACGCTGGGAGTGACCAGTAAGTACCAACCACTGACACTTTTGCAGCCAAGCACTTTAAACACTGAGCAACCAGGGCTCCTCCTCTTCGTAAGTGGTGATAACGGTATCTATCCCCCAGAACTACTGTGAGAATTAATTAAAATGACATAGGTTAAGTACTTAGCACCAAACCTGGCCCAGAGAGTTGACAGCTGGATTCCATACCAGGGGGCCTGGGTCCCTAGAAAAGGTCTGTCCCCAAGGCTACATTTTTCATTCATTCTATAAATAATATTTGAGCACTTGCTATGTGACGTTGTCAAGGATTTCATTTCACTTGGATCCACAATCAACAACTATGAAAGCAGCAGCCAAAAAATCAAACGATGCATTGCATTGGGTAAATCTGCTGCAAAAGACCTCTTTAAAGTCTTAAAAAGCAAAGATGTCACTTTGAGAACTAAAGTGCACTGGATTCAAGCCATGGTATTTTCAATCACCTCATATGCATGAGAAAGCTGAACAATGAATAAGGAAGATCAAAGAAGAAGCCTTTAAATTATGGTAAGGAAGAACATTGAATATACCATGGACTGCCAGAAGAATGAACAAATCTATCTTGGAAGAAGTACAGCCAGAATGTTCCTTAGAACCAAAGATGGCAAGACTTCCTCTCAGGTATTTTGGACATGTTTTGAGGGGGGACTAGTCCCTGGAGAATATCATGCTTAGTAAAGTAGAAAGTCAGTGAAAAAGAGGAAGACCTTCAGTGAGATGGATTGACACAGTGGCTGCAACAAAGGGCTCAAGCATAGCAAGGATTGTGAGGCTGGCGCAGAACACAGCAGTGTTTCCTTCTGTTGTACATAGGGTCGCCATGAGTCCGAACCGACTCATGGTTCAGACTTAAAAATAACAACTATATAACTATAGCAACTGCTGCAGGCCCAGGGATGATGAACAAATAAGCAACATAAATGATCACAGATAAGATAATATAATCATAGACAATAATTATAGCCAATAGTTAACATTTGCATACTGAAAGCCAGGTTCCCTGATGGGCTCTTTACATACTCCATTTCACCTTCCTGAAAGCAATGTGTCATCCATATTTTACAGATGAGGAAACTAAGGCTCAGAGAGGACTGTCACTTGCCCAAGAGCACAAAGGACACCAAGCTGAACCCTCGTCTGCGGACTCGTCCGGGCTGCACACCTCACCTGCGTTGCCTGGCGCAGCCCTCGATAGGGCGCGGTGCGGCTGCGGTTGCCCCAGCCGGCGAGGAGAAGTCCACAGAGCTGTCGCACGCTCAGTGGCGCCCCCGCCTGGCCGTTGTACTGCACAGCGCCCCCCACCAGCGCCTGTAGCGCCTCCAGCAGCTCCGCCTGGTCCTCAGCGCGGGTCAGGGGTCCGCACGCGCCCAACTCTGCCTGCAGCGCCTCCTGGGCAGCCCCACCAGCGCGCAGCCGCCGCTCCACCTCCGCAAAGGCAGCGGATGCCGCGGCCCAGCACTGCAGGGAGCGAGAGGTGGGGTCATCCAAGACCGTGGTCGAGGCCCACGGTGCCCACCTGGGTCTTCTCACTTCTCTGGGAGCTCAGACTCCACCCGGAACTGCCCAACCCAACTCACGCCCAAGGTACCGCCCTTTTTCGTGGTCCCACCCCACACTGAGCCCCACCTTCCTCATAAGATTAGTCCTTCTGCTGGCAGCTCCCCTTCTGAGGCCAGCCCTCCGGCCCGGGCTCCTCTCACTATGTTGCCCCACCCCCCCATTCCTCCTCAGAGCCCACCTTCTTGAAGACCCGCCCACCTCCCGGGGCTCCCACCTCCCGGGGCTCCCACCTCCCACCTCCCACCTCCCACCTCCCACCTCCCACAGGCCCTCCTTTCTTGCAGGCTCTGCCTTTCTTCTCTGGCCCCTCTCCCCGACTTCCACGACCTTTTCTTGTCCTCGTCCCCCTCGGACTAGGCCTCACATCCTACCTCCGAGGACCCGCCAATTGCCGTACTCATTAAGCTTCTGGACACCACCTGTGGACGGACCGCAGGTGACGGTATCAGGGGACTAACCACTGGGACCCTCCTCCTCCTTCCACATCGCCTCCCGCCCTTCTTACATTATTGTATTCCGAGAAATCCAGCACCGCGCGTAGAGGGGCCGAGGAGGCGACAGATGCGAATATGAGATGGGGGAACTGACGGAGGAGAAAACCATCAGGTCGGGGGTTGGGAGACTGGGACCCTCGTACCCTCGTGCTCCCACTGCACCCTTCTGCTGCTTGGACTGGTACCCCGGGTGTGTCACGCACTTGTTGAGTGATCTCAGACAAACCCCTACCTTCTTTGCCTCGGGTTCTTGTGAAGTTAGTATATGTAAAGTTTTCTGGGGTGGGAGGAGGGTAGGGTGTTCCTGTTATTTGAGATGGGGACCCTGGAGTCCTGTCCCCTACCCCCAGCCCACCCGGGGACCTTGAGCCGGGCCCAGGCGGCCAGGGAGCCAGCATAGGAGCCTCCGAAGCAGATCCAAGGGCTGGAGGAGGAGAGGTTGAAGAGGCGGGAGAGTGCGAGGTGGGCAGAGGCCAAGTCAGCCAACCTGGGATCAGAGGGGAAGATGGGTTCGTCCTCATCCCTGGGAATCTCTGAAGATCCCCCTACTATACAGGCGGGAAAACTAGGGACCTAGAGACATGAATAAGGGGAGTCTGACAAAGAAGACCTCAAGGTGCAGGAAGAGGAGGAGAGCAGGTCCTAGCCTAGATAGAAAGTAGGTAAAGCTTTTCTGGGGTGGAAGGAGGGTAGGGTATTCCTATTATTTGAGAAGAGAGAGGCACAAATAAAAATGGAAGTAGATGTGGAGATATGTCTAACATCCTCCTTCCATCCTAAGGACTTTCTCTTCTACCCAGCTTTCCTGAAATGGTTTGCAGGTTGTGTCATCCTGGTGCAGTTTGAAACTAGTTTAGCTTGTGGGAAATATTGAGACACAGAAAGAAAGAGAAATAGAGGCAATGAGACACAGAAGAGACAGAAATATAGAGACAAGAATGAGACAGACAAGGAGAGAGAAACGGAGACGCCAAATGGAGAGAGAGACACACCAAGCAGGAGAGAGAGAGATAAGTGCCCTGAAGCACAATAAAGCAGACCACATCAAGAAAGGAATGGTAATGCTGTTGTTGGTGGATGTTTATATGAATAGAATGCATTGAAAAAGGGGAGGGAGGGAGTCATGTGACTATCTGGGGGAAGCCCATTCCAGAGACAAGAGTTCAAAGGTTCAAGACAGAAATATGTCTCTAAATCTGAAAAACATAAAGGACCTCATTGCAACTGGAGTCCCATGAGTGCAAGAGAATGGAGGTCAGAGAGTTAACTGGAGGGCCAGAGCCAAACAGATCTATGGCCAGTGTAAAGACTTTGAACTTATTCTGTGTGAGATGAGAGACATGAGATAGATTTGAGCTAGGGAGGGTCACAGTGTAGTTTCTAGTCTAACAGGAGCACTCTGGCTTCAGTGTGGAGAACAGACTAAAGTGGGCAAGGGCAGAAACAGGAAAACCAGGGAGGAGACTGTAATCCAGGTAAGAGATGCTGATGGTCTGGACCAATCAGCCGCAGTGAGACAGTAGCCTACTTCAGACAGTGAGCCAGAAACAGACAGGCTACAGTTTAAGAGACAGATACAGACAGGGAGAGACACAGGCAGAAAAAGAAAAAATAAATCACTATGAAAGACAGCAGAAATCAGAGGGAACCAGAGGTTCAGAGATTGCCTTTGTGCAATGAGAGAGAGAGAGAGATATAGATGCAGAGATGTTAGGATGTTGACATCCTCAATTCTGTGGCCCCAAAGACTTTCCCCATGCTCACTCACGCATGACGGCTGGATAAGAAGCGGAGCTGAGCCATGTCCAGGCCCCCGGCAGGTGTACTTAGTCCATAAAATCTGTGTTCCAGACCTACTACCAGAGCCCCTAAGGCTGGGGCCAGGGCTGCAGGGTGACCTGTGAAGAGTGCAGGAGATGGGGGGAGATGCAAGCTGGATGTGAGACCCTGCAGGTCTCACAGTAGTATAATATGCAGCTCCCCTTTCCTGGCCTCTACCAGCTTCCCCAGCCATGTCTTTCGCCTCTTACCTCTCATCACTGAGCCAGGCCCAAGGCTGCCCTCACCTCCCAGATGCAGGAATATGGGTCCATCCTGGCCAGCCCAATGTTGGTCATTCACCCAGTACCGCTAACAGGTGGCATGGGGAGAAAGAAATGGCATTGTGAGAGTCCTGATCTATTCTCACCTCCTAATTCTAGTCTCTCACCCAGATGAATCTTTCTTTAGATACTTAGTAATGTGTGAAATGGGCTTGCTTATTTATGTGTCACTTCCTTCCTGTTTATCTCCTCTTCTAGAATATAAGATCTATGTTGTTGTTATGTGCCGTCGAGTCAGCCCCGACTCATAGCGACCCCTCCTTGGGTTTCCGAGGCAGTATCACTACGGAAGTAAATTGCCCCATCTTCCTTCCGAGGACTGGCTGGTGGGTTTGAACCGCCAGCCTTCTGGTTAGCAGTCAAGTGCCTTAGCCACTATGCTACCAGAGCTCCCATAAGATCTATATCAACAGGTATTTCTATGTTTTTACTCACCAGGGTGGAGGAGAGTGTCTGGCACATGATAGGTACTTGCTATTTATTGAAATAATAGTTGTAGAATGAATAATGAGTGCGTATAGATTTAGGAATAAGGCCTAGGTGGGATGATCTTTGGAGACGGTGTATGGAGTGGGCACTGAAAGATGGTGAGTTTGTTCATTCATTCAGTAGATATTGAGTGCCTGTTTTGTAACAGTCCCTGTAATAGGAACTGGGAGAAGCAGCCAGAATCAAAACTAGGCAACTGCTGTCTTGGAGATCACAGTTTAGAAGGGGAGGAGATAGACAATAAACACTCAAGCAATAAATACAAATACAGCAATATATAGTAAAATACTTCTTCCTGGTAATGAGTACCAGGAAGAAAATAACAGGGTAATGGAGAGGGACTAAGTGTGTATAGGGGCTGCACAGAGAGGTCAGGGAAGACCCTGTGCAAAGGGGATATTTGAGCTGAAACTTGAAGGATGAGTCAAAGTTAGCCATGGGTAGATAATAGAAAGTGCACATCAGATGAAGGGGACATCAAGGACAGGGTTCTGAGGTGGGAAAGAGTTGGCATAGACCAGGAAAAGGAAGTGGCATAGTGCCTGAGGCATTTGGCTGCTAACCAGAAGGCTGGTGGTTCAAACCCGCCAGCCACTTCTGGAAGACTGGGCAATCTGCTTCTGTAGAGATACTGCCTTGGAAATCCAAGGAGGGGTTGCTATGAGTTGTAATCGACTCAATGGCAGTGAGTTTTTTTTTTTTTTTAAAGGAGTACACATATGTGGGCAGGGAGCTCTGGTAGTATAGTGCCTAAGGCATTTATTTGACTGCTAACCAGAAGGCTGGCGGTTCAAACCCACCAGCCACTCCTTGGAAGGAAGATGGGGCAATCTACTTCTGTAGTGATACTGCCTCAGAAACCCAAGGAGGGGTCGCTATGAGTCGGGTTCGACTCAACGGCACATAACGACAAACAACAACACACATGCGGGCAGAGTAAGTTTGGAGTTGGTGGTGAGGAGTTGGGCAAGGATGAGTTTAGAGAAGATGAGGTAAAAAGAGAAGGGAAGACAGGGAAAGAAAGTGTATGTAGACTGATGAACAGAGCGGAGACACTGAGGGGTAGAGAGCTCTCAGTGATGGATACTGAGGGACAAAGAGGAGATTGAAGGATAGAGTGAAGAGGAGACTGATGGTCAGTCTTGGAGAAGACAGAGGAGACAGTGGACTTTCATCTGCTGTTGGTCTCACCTGCAGGAAGGATCGTCTGTCTGATGCATTGAAGGGGTCCAGTGGCTGCTCCAACCAGCCCTCTTTTGGGAAAGCCACAGCACCTGGACCCAGGCTCAGCCCCAAACTTGGGCCAGAGCTCTCCTGAAGCTGCTGAGTGTGCTTACCCAAGCGTCTAAGAAGAGAGGCTGTGGGACATGGAGGGGAGAGAGTCAGCCCAAGCCCTCTTAGCAGCCCCTGTCTGCCTTCTCATCCTCCTCTTACCTGTATCTGCGAGCCCCAAGAAAGAAACCAGGAGCAGACTGCCCAACCAGAGGGCAGGCCCGATGGCCATGCTGTCCAGTCCTCTGTGCCAGGGCTTCTGGTGCTCTGTTCTTCCCTACCCACTGGGGGCCTTTATCATGTTTGCAGAGACTGGGCTCTAAATCCATCATCTTTCATCAGGAGATCAGGTTTGTTTTCAGACACCTCTAGGGCAGGTCAAGCGTCTGTAGGAACTGCTACAGCAGGACAGGGACGCCAGAGTCTGTGTGGAAGCCTGCTGACGCAGCACCAGAGTATCCAATTTCTTCTCTCTACCCGTGGTTCTCCCCTCTCTCTGCCTCTCAGCCTTCCGTCCCTTCATCCCTTACTATCCCCTCACCGTCCTTCAGTCTTCCCTCCCTCTTTACCTTAGATTTCCCTTTTCTATGCTTGGTTCTCCTCTCCACTCCCCTTCAGTCTCCATCTCTCCTTCAGTCTCTGCCTCAGTACCTCTTGGACCCTCAGTTGCCCACTTACTCTCAGTCTTCCTCTCTCTGCCCCTCAGCATAGCTTCAGTACCTGTACTTGCCCTAATACTCAGTCTCTTTTCTCTGTTCCTCGGCCCCTCCATCTCTTTCAGTTTTCTCCCTGCTCTAGTTTCTCGATGTCCTGCAGTCTCACCCTGACTATTTTCTGTTGTTGTTGTTAAGTGCCGTTGAGTCGTTTCTGACTCATAGCGTCCCCATGCACAGCAGAATGAAACACTGCCCGATCCTGCGCCAGCCCCACAATCCCTGCTATACTTGAGCCCATCATTGCAGCCACCATGTCAATCCATCTCGTTGAAGGCCTCCCCCTCTTTCGTCGACCCTCCACCCTACCAAGCATGACATCCTTCTCCAGGGAATGGTCCCTTCTTACAACATGACCAAAATAGGTGAGACGAAGTCTGTCCATTCTTCCTTCCAAGGAGCATTCTGGCTGCACTTCCTCCAGGACAGATCTGTTAGTTCTTTTAGCAGTCCATGGTACTTTCAGCCAGCACCATATCTCAAAAGCATCAACTCTTCTTCGGTCTTCCTTATTCATTGTCCAGCTCTCACATGCATACGAGGCAATTGGAAATATCATGGCTTGTGTCAGGCGCACCTTAGTCCTCGAGATATCCTTGCTCCTCAGCACTTGATACAGTTCCTTCGCGGTTGACTTTCCCAATGCTACACGTCATCTAATGTCCTGACTGCTGCTTCTGTTGGCATCGATTGTAGAACCAAGCAACGTGAATTCTTTGACAACTTCAATCTTCTCTCCATTTATTGTGATGCTGCTCATTGGTTCAGTTGTGAGGATTTTTGTTTTCTTTATATTGAGACGTAATCCATACTGCAGACTGTATTCTTCAACCTTCATCAACTATTTTCTAGTTTCCCTCTTTTCTGTTACTTATCACTGCCCCCCACACTTCTGACCTATTATCTGACCACTTTCTTTAGACCCCTTTTGGTTCTTTGAGCCCACTAGGCTTGCTCCTGCCTCAGAAAGTTTCACTGTTCCCACCCTTTATTGCTATTGCTCCATAAATCCACATGGCTCACTTCCTGACCTCAATCAAGTCTTTACTCAGCTATCATCTGCTCAGAAAGGTCTTTCATGGGCACCTTTTTAAAAATTGCCAAACTTGTACCTTCCTCTAGTCCTCTTCTTTCTTCATTCTTCTTCATAGCACTTACCACTATCAGATATATTATGCATGTTTTATTTTTTTATGTGGTACATCATCTGTCTCCCTGACTAGAAAGTAATCTCTATGAGGGTTGTGTTGTTATGTTGTTATGTGCCGTCGAGTCAGCCCCGACTCATAGCGACCCCTCCTTGGGTTTCCGAGGCAGTATCACTACAGAAGTAGGATTGCCCAACCTTCCTTCCAAGGAGTGGCTGGTGGGTTTGAACCGCCAGCCTTCTGGTTAGCAGTCAAGTGCTTTAGCCACTATGCTACCAAAGCTCCTAAGAGATGGCCCATCTACCTGGCGGGGAGCGGCCAGTAGGTTTGAACCACCAGCCTTGGGTGTGGCAGCTGACTGCCTGAGGCCCTGAAGTAGGGGTTTTTTATCTCTTTCATCCATTGCTAAATGCCTAGTTCTTAGAACAGTGCTGTGGTGCAGTGATTACTTAATTTGAGCCTTCTAGCCATGGTCCTTGTGACTCCCATACAATGATTGAGTGGGACTATGCAAATAAGGTGCCAGTGGCCCACTGAGAGGATTGTACAGTTTGTTGCTAATGCAAATAGTGTGTGTGGAGCCTGTGAGGGTTAAGATATTGTGTCAACTTGGTTAAGCCATGATTTTCAGTAGTTTGGCAGTTATGTAATGATGTACTTTGGACATGCTATCAGGAGGGACTGGTCCCTGGAGAAAGACATCACATTTGGTAAAGTAGAGGGTTAGTGAAAAAGAGAAAGGCTCTTTTTTGGATTGACACAGTGGCTGCAACAATGGGCTCAAACATAGCAACAATTGTGAGGATGGCTCAGGACCAGGCAGTATTTCATTCTGTTGTACATAGAATCACCATGAGTTGGTACAAACTCGATGACACCTAACAGCAACAACAAATATAATGATGTCATAATTTTCCATTTTGTGGCCTGATATAACTATCATCCATTTTGTGATCTGATGTAATTGTCCTTCATTGTGTGATGGGTTGTAAATCCTAATTTCTATGCCTGTGGTTATGGTCCCATTTTGGAGTGAGTTGTTGTTATGTTAGTGAGGCAGGATTAGAGTGGGATGTATCTTGAGTCACTACCTTACTAGAAGATGTGACTCAAGTCGTCACCCTTACCCCAGTCATCACCCTTATCACTTTATTCAAGTCATACCCTTGCACCGCCTTGCAGTAAGGGGAGTTTCCTAGAAGATATGGTCTGCATCCAATATATATATGAATGCTCTGGCAAAGTACCCTCTCTTGCTCTGGATCATGCACCTAGTTCATCATCATCTAATCACTGGTTCTTGAGGCAGCATTCTGTTGTCTGACCTGGTAATTTGGCTTTGTCAACCTCTGCAACCACGTGAGTCAGGAGAGCCTCCAGCCTGACAACTGACCCAGGGATTTGACACTTATCAACCTCCCCATCTGTGTGAGCCATTTCCTTGATGGTTCATGAGTTCTGTAAGACAGTGAAGCAAATTACAGAACCCAAAGACAGGAGAAGAGTATTGAGGGGAGGAGGAGGAGTTGATATTAGAGATAATGGAGTGGTATACCAGTTTGGGAAAAGTTGGACATTTGGGACATCTTTGACCTCTGCCTTGTAGTAACCAGCTTTGTGCTGATCTTTCTAAAAGAAACTTATTCATCCAAGTGTATATACTGGGCAATTATTAAATATTTGTTGAGTGAATGAACAATCCATCAACTGATGTTGCCAGCTCTACTTTAAATATAGATCCAGAATCTGATGACTTCTTACCATTTCTATTGCTGCTGTGTTCTTCTGAGCCACCATCATCTCTGACTTGAAATGAATATTCATATTGCAGAAGCTTCTTAGCTGGTTTCCTTGCTTCTCCTCACATTGTCTATAATAAAAAAGACATGCAGTAACAAATGCTAGGAATGGAAAATGGAAAACTCTTGAACTCATTATTTATAATGGTTTTATTGAGGTATGATTCACATATAAAATTCACCTGTTTTTAAGTGTACAATTCAATGACTTAGTAAATTTACAGATTTGTGGAACTATCACCACAATCCAGTTTTAGGACATTTCTAATCACCCCAAGAAAGATCCTTCATACCTATTTGCAGTCCATCTCTGTTCTCACTCCCAGCACCAAACAACCACTAATCTTCCTGTCTCTATGGATGTGCCTTTTTTGGACATTTTGTATAAGTGGACTCCTACAGTATTTGCTTTTAAAATATCTGGCTTTTTAAACTTAGCATCATGTTTTTGAGGTTCATGCATGATGTAACATATATCAGTACTTCAAATCCTTTTATTACGAAATAATATTCATATATTCATATATATACACACATGTATATATACATATACATATATTCATATTCGTATATATACACGTGTATATATACATATACATATACATACAAAATATGTATAATACATACTGTGTGCATGTATATATTGTTGTTGTTGTTGTTATGTGCCGTCGAGTCGGCCCCGACTCATAGCGACCCCTCCTTGGGTTTCC